GAAAATTAAGAAAAAAAGTTTAAAATAAAGAGCTGTAAGTAATAAAAATATTTACGTTTTTAGCAAAAAAGCTGTTTTTTTAGATTAAATATAGAAAGGCTTCTTGAAACAGTATATAAATTAAAATGATTTTGTAAATTATTGGTCAATTAGTTACTTAGCAAAGATACTAAAATTTGTTAGACTTTTAAAAATTGATAGTGCTTAAGAAGGAAAATTCGATTTGGATATTGTTTTATTAATTTCTAATTAGCTTATTCACAAATAAATAAATACATACATACAATCATCATTAATAAATTCTCAAGTAACTTAATTAAATAAACAAGATAATTAATTATTCCTTTACAATTCTATTTTATTTTTTTAAAAATTAGTCATGATATTTATATCTCATATTTAATGATAATTATTCCATTAATTTTAATATTTTTAAATAATTAATCTGTGAAATTTTAAGTCGTCAACAATTTTTATGATATGGAAGATAAATTATTCAAATTTAATGCACTTAAAAAAATGGTAATGAAAAAAAAATTATTTTTTTATTTTAATTTATATAAATGCGAAACTTTTATGTAATAAATAAAAATTAATATTATATACGCACTAGTAAAAAAAAGTTAAATAAAAATGATAATTTATATTAAATTTTTAAAACACTAAAAATATTTAGATATATTTCAATTCTCTGATAATTAGTTATTTCTCTAGTAGGAAATAAATATTAAGTAGAATAATAAATATTACCGTAGGGTCTCTTAGTCAAGAGGTCTTCTATTATAAGATAGTTCTTGAATAAGACATAAACATGAAAATATTTCGGCTATAGCTAAGCTCAAATTTTTTTTGATAGTATATTTATTATTTTGGGTTAGATAGAGTTTTTATATTTATATAAAAATACTACTATTTATAAATAATAAGTTTAAAAATAATAAAATATTACTAACAATCTGGTTTTTCAAAAGCTTTAGTTTATTTAAAGCTTAGCTACATAGTAATTTTTGTTTAATTATTATTTATAATTAAGATTGGTTAATTTTTTATTTATATGTAAGCTTAAAAAGAACAAAATTTGAAGCAATTAGGAATCAAGTGACATAAATTTATAAAAATAAAATACAAAAAAGACAGACAGACTGTATATTATTTAAAAAATTGGTATAGTTACTTATTTTTCTATCCAGTCAGAATGAAGTAGGGAATAGAACTTTCAAAAATAATTAAAATTATCTAATACTTTATCTGATAAGCAAATTCGCTCATAATTAGAAGATAATCAAATAATCTATCAATTTCTAAATCATTAGTAAACCTTTTTTCTTTTAATTGAAAAAACATTCATAAATTTACACTTTTTTTAATTTTATTATTACTCTTAAATAAGATTGGTTCACTTTTTAGTTATGTGTGTGTAAGCTTACAAAGAAAAATTTTTATAATTTTACACTCTTTTTGATAATCTGAATAAACCTGCAAATATCATTAAAAAAAAAATATCATAAACAGACTTGAAAATCAATAATTAAATATATATTTTTCTTAACTAAATGTGAGTTTTTTATATTTATTTAATATAAATATATTTAAAAACTTTTTAAATATTTTTGAAGCAATTAGGAATCAAATAAATGGCATAAATTAATAAAAATAAATACAAAAAAATAAGACTGTATATTATTTAATAAATTAATTGGTTTAAATTAATAAAATAAAATTTATTTTAAGAAAGAGAATTTACTTAAAATATTTTTTAATTAGTTACTTATTTTTCTATTTAGAATGAATTAGGGAATAGAACTTTCGAAAATAATTAAAGTTATCAAATACTTTATCTGATAAGCTAATTAGCTCATAATTAGAAAGAAGATCATCAAATAATCTATTAATTTCTAAATCCTGGGTAAATCTTTTCTATTGATTAAAAAATACATTCATAAATTTACACTTTTTTTAATTTTATTATTCTTCTTAATTAGTTAGAGAATTAACGATCGGAGCATTTTTAGATCAGTATATATAAAAACCTTTCTACCTTACTATTTTTTCGCCTTCCAAGTATTTTTCTTGGAGGGCTACATTTTC